CAATGCCAACAGAGACTTGACATTTTTTCTCTCTCTTCTCAGATATCCTTAGCGAGTAGTTTTTGTCCTCCTGCTTTTCACTCTGTAGCCACAAAGTGAATGTTCCATCTCTAGCATTGCATCTATGTAGTCCAGGCAGGAAGAAGGGAAAGGACAAAGGGTAAAAGACTGAACAGCCAATCTCACCATGTCTTTCCTGTTTTTAAAGGGCTTATCTAGGAGCCCCACCTAGCAACTTCTGCTGACATCTCATTGTCTGGGCTGTGTCACACAGCCACTCCTAGCTGCTGCTCCAAACAAAATAAGGGCTCTGGTAGGAAAAGGAGAGGAACTACCAGTGTCTGCCCTACTTCCATCACTGCTTACCTCAGCGTCCGCGATACCTCCTGATGTATCATCCCATGTCCGCTCTTTCCCTTACTCCAGTTCACGTACAGTTATCAGAACAGTCATCCTGGAACCTGGCTCCAAATTCATCATACGACTATTTTCTCCTCAATTTTGTTGAGGTCTAATTGTATATAGTTAAAATCTACAATATGTTGGTTTGATATACATTGTGAATGACTACCACGATCAAGTTAATTAACATATCCATCACCTCACATGGCTACCATTTATGTGTGTGTGTGGGGGGGTGGGAATGCTTTAGATCTCTGCAAATATCAAGTATACAGTACAGTATAACTCCAGCCACAATGCTGTACATTAGACCTCCAGAACTTACTCATCTTGTTACTGAATGTTTGTACTCTTGACCAACATCATTCCCTTCCCCCAGCCCCTGGAGTTCCACTTTTTTTAGATTCTGCATATAAATGAGATTATGCAGTATGTCTTTCTCTGGGTTATTTCACTAAGCACAGTATCTTTCAGGTTCATCCATGTTATCACAAATGGCAGGATTTCCTTCTTTTTTCTGGCTGAGTAACATTCCATTGTGCCATGTTTTTATATATGTGTCACATTTTTAAACTCCATCCATCTGTGGACATTTAGGTTGTTTTCATTTCTTGGCTATTGTGAATAATGCTGCAGTGAATATGGGAGTGCAGATGTCTCTTTGAGATCCTGATTTCATTTCCCTCAGATATATATCCAGAAGTGGGATTGCTAGATACTATGATAGTTCTATTTTTAATTTTTTAAGGATACTCCATAACTGTTTTCCATAATGGCTATACTAAATTATATTCCTACCTACAATGGGAGTATACAAGAGTTTCCTTTTCTCCACATCCTCCCCAGGTTGTTATCTCTTGTCTTTTTGATGATAGCCATCCTAATAGGTGTGATACCTCATTTTGGTTTTGATTTGCATTTCCCTCATGATTAGTGATGTTGAGCATCTTTTCATGTACCCACTGGCATTTGTATATCCTTTTTGGAAAAATGTCTTCTCAGGTTGTTTGCCCATGTTTTAATTGGATTGTTTATTTTTTTGCTATTGAGTTGTAGGAGTTCCTTACATATTTTAGGTATTAACCCTTTATCAGATATATGGTTTGTGCTATGGTTTGAATGTTTGTGTTCCCCCAGAATTTATAAGTTGATATCATCCTTATTAAGAAGCCATGTGATGGTATTAAGAGGAAGGGCCTTTGGAAGGTGATTAGGTCATGAGAACCCTATGAATGGGGTTAGTGCTTTTATTAAAAAAAAAAAAAAAAAAAAAAAAAGGCCCCAGAGAACTTGCTAGCCCCCTTCTATCATGTAAGGACACAGTGAGAAGATACTGGCTATGAACCAAAAAGAGCCTTCACCAGCCACCACGTGGAATCTGTGGTGCCCTGATCTTGGACTTTTAGCCTCCATAACTGAGAAAAATAAATTTCTATTGTTAATAAGCTACCCAGTCTCTGGTATTTTGTTATAGCAGCCTGAATGGACTAAGACAGTTCTTAAATATTTTCTCCCATTTCATAGGTTGCCTTTTCATTTTGATTATTTCTTTTGCTGTGCAGAAACTTTTTTGGTTTTATGTAGTTGCACTTGTTTGTTTTGCTTCTGTTGACTGTATTTTTGGTGTCCAAAAAAAATCACTGCCAAGACTAATGTCAAGGAGCTTTTTTCCTTTGTTTACTTCTAGGAGTTCCACAGTCCCAGGTCTTGTGTTTAGGTCTTCAATCATTTTGAGTTAATTTTTGTGAGTTCTATAAAATAGGGATCCATTTTCATTCTTTTGCCTGGATACCCAGTTTTCCTGGCACCATTTATTGAAGAGACTGTCCTTTCCCCATTGTGTATTCTTGGCACCCTTGTCAAAGACAGTTGACCATATATGCATGAGCTTATTTCTGGGCTCTATTCTGTTCCATTGGCTTATGTGTCTCTTTTTATGCCAGTACCATGTAGTTTTGATTATGGTAGCTTTGTAATGATAGTTTGAAATCAGGAAGTGTGATGCCTCCAGCTTTGTTCTTTCTCAAGACTGCTTTGGCTATTGGGGGGTTTTGTGGTTCCATGCAAATTTTAGGGTTATTTTTTCTATTTCTGTGAAACATGCCATTGGAATTTTGATAAGGATTGCATTGAATTTGTAGATCACTTTGGATAGTGTGGACATTTAAACAGTTATTAATTCTTCCAATCCAAGGACACAAGATATCTTTCCATTTGGTTGCACCTTAATTTATTTCAATGTCTTCATTTTCAGTGTACTTGTCTTTCATGTCCTTAAATTTATTCCTAAGTATTTTATTGCTTTTGATGCTATAAGTGGGATTTATATTTTTTTTCTTTTAGATAGTTCATTGTTAATGTATAGAAACACAACTGATTTTTGTTTCCTGCAACTTAACTGAATTTGTTGATTAGTTCTAACTTTTTTTGGTGGAGTTTTTAAGGTTTTCTGTACATAGTACATGTCATCTGTGAACAGAGATAATTTTACTTATTCCTTTTGTATTTGGATGCCTTTTATTTCTTTTTCTTGCCTAATTGCTCTGGCTAGGTCTGTGTTGAATACAAGCGGCAAGACTGGACATCCTTGTCTTATTCACTATTGGGTATGATGTTAGCTTGTGGGTTTGTCATATGTGGCTGTTATAATGTTGAGATACATTTCTTCTATACCTAATTTGTTGAGAGTTTTTATCATGAAAGTACATTGAATTTTGCCAGATGCTTTTTCTTTATTGAGATGATCATATGATTTTTATCCTTGATTCTGTTAATGTGATGTATCACATTTATTGATTTTTGTGTATGTTGGACCATCATTGCATACAAAGGATAAATATAATTTGATCATGGCATATGATCCTTCTAACATGCTGTTGAATTTCATTTGCTAGTGTTTTGTTGAAGATTTTTGCATCTATGTTCACGAAAGATACTGGTGTATAACTTTCTTGTAGTGTCCTTGTCTGGCTTTGGTATCAGGGTAAAGCTGGCCTCATAAGATGAGTTTGGGAGGGTTCCTTTCTCTTCAGTTTTTTTGGAAGAGTTTGAGAAGGATTGGTATAAACTTCTCTTTAAATGCTAGGTAGCAATCATCAGTGATACCATCTGGTCCTGGGCTTTTCTTTTTTATTACCAATTCAACCTCCTATTTGTTATTGGTCTGCTCAGGTGTTCTAGCTCAATGATTCAGTCTTAGTAGGTTTTGTTTCTAGGAATTTATTCATTTCTTCCAGGTAATCCAATTTGTTGATGTATAATTTTTCATAATGATCTCTTATGATTCTTTGTATTTCTGTGATATCAGTTGTAATATCACCTTTCATTTCTGATTTTGTCTTTTTTTCTCACTGTAGCTAAAAGTTTGTCAATTTTATCTTTTCACAAAACCAGCTCTTAGTTTCATGGACCTTCTCTATCATTAGTCTGCTCTGATTTTTATCATTTCCTTCCTTCTGCTAACTTTTTGCTTAGTTTTTTCTTTTTCTAGTTCCTTGAGGTATAAAGTTAGGGTGTTTATTTTTTTTCTTCATGAGCAGGAGATGGGGAGCAGAGGGAGAGGGGAAAAAGAGAATCTTAAGCATGCTTCACGTCCAGTGCAGAGCCCAAATGCAGGTCTCGATCTCACAACACTGAGCCGAAATCAAGAGGTGGACGCTTAACTGACTGAGCCACCCAGGCACCCCAAGATCCTTTTTTTCTTAATGTAAACATTTATTGTGATAAACTACCCTCTTAGAACTGCTTTTGCTGCATCCCATATTTTAGTATGTCGTATTTACGTTTTCATTTGTTTCAAGATATTTTTTGGTTTCCCTTTTGACCTGTTTTTTATTCCTTCATCATATTTACTATTAAGAGATTTCCATCACTTAAAAACAAAACTCTAAAGTTCTTAGTCTGGTATCTAAGAACCTCCATAGTGTGTCTCCAAATGACCATCTAACTTAGAGTTCCAGTTTACCTTTCCACATACTCTGCACCCCAAACAGGTTTATTATACTAAGCTCTAGCATTCCTTTCTTCAAGCCTTTTCTCGGGCTGTTCCCAGTCTGCAGTTCCTTCATTTCATTCTGCAGGCCTAAGCCCTCACATCCTTCAAGGCCTAGGTCAAATGCCACCTCCAAGTTCAGCCCTTCCTGGTCCTCTCAGGCTTTGTACCTCCTCTACATGGTAATGGTCATTTTCTCCCTTCTTTGAGTAATTTTGAAGTCCATGTTTTGATTTCCTTCTGGAGATCAGGGATCCTTATTAGAGACAGGTTCCTTCTAGAATTGGGCCATACATGTTCAACAAATAGTTGTTAGATGAGAGAATACTTCTCCTAGGACTGTCAGAAGAACTTTGTTCAAAGCTGACATTTGCGTGTGTCTATGTTAGGTACTAAGTGCTTTATATGTAACAGTTCATGTAATTCTCACCACAGTCTTTATGAGGTGACTTCCTTTCAAAGCTCCCATATGACAGATAATGAAACTGAAGCACAGCAAGTAGCTAATCTACTCAGTATCATGTAGCCTTTCAGTGGTAAAACAGCTTTTGAACCAGTCAGACTCTAGAGCTCATAGTCTTTACTATAATTTCTTCTGTCTCAACAGAGAAAAGAAGCAAGAAATCGAGAATGTTGTTACTCAGCTTCCTGACTACCCGAAGCTCTCTGAGCAAGGGACTGCCTGTCCTGGGAGTGGGTCTACCTTCACTGGGACCAAGGGGAGACCTTGGATCATGGATCAAGAGCTAAGGTCAGGCCAAGGGGTTGACACTGAATCTTTGCAATGGAAATGGCCACACTTTAAAGTTCTAACTCATCGAAGAGTTGCCCGCTACCCGCCCCCAAAATATGAGAAAGAACAAGATTGAAGTCTCTTTGCTGTTGAAGAAAATATGTGAATTCCATTTAGCTCTTGCTAAGTAGAGGGTTTTGCCAGGTTGCTCCTGGGAAAATATTCTAAGAGCAGAATGAAACCCATGATGTCTTTCTTACTTATGGGAGTTCAATCACCCTAAAAAACTTATGTTTGCTTTTATGGAAAGTAAAAGAAGGGCATTGGAGGGGTTGGCACAGAGTCCACACCTTGCGTGTTGGGAACCCAGCCATCTCTTTCAGTTGGCAGTCCCGTTAAGGATCATCATTGAGCCCTTGTGTTCCTTTGTTAACATGTGGGTCTTGCAGCTTTCCTAGAAAATGGGTCTTGGTTTACACCCCCTCAATAAAGTAGGGGCTATAACTTTCACCAGCTCTGTGTTAAAGAGTACCAAGCTCTGTTGCAAGCTGTTTCAGTTTACTCCATCGTACTCAAAGACAGCAGATGCCATGGGCATTTTCCCTGTTGTATGAAGCAGTATGAACATCTGGCCCCTTCAGGAAAGGGAGAATTATCTTCTCTTTCCCAAAATGACTGGATGATCACATTTTAAATATATATGCACCATGGCACTAACTCCTGGGAAGATTATGCAAGATTGAGGTTTGACTGCTTTCTGCCACTAAAATAGCTCTCTGGCAGTTATGCATAATTTAGTATGTATGATTGGAGGTATACCCATCAGATACACATATTCTGCTTCAATAATAAATAATGCCAGACAGCATTTAGATACTAGAGATTTTTATTAGAATTTATATTGTTTTTGTCTTACTATAAAGGTAATACATGCCCAGAATAAATAACATTCAGGGAGTAAAAATTTAGAAAATAGAAATAAAAATATTTCTTAAAATCCCATAACCCAGAGATGATTACCTCCAATATTGCTTTAATATGCATATAAAATAGAATTAATCCTGTAATATTTAACTAGCTCTTTGCACTTGATAGTGTATCATGAACATTTCTGATATGAAATGTTTATGGAGCATTGATAATTTTTTGAGTGCATATTACATTCACATGAGTTTTATTTATATATACACATACCTGCTTGTTACCCTCCATTCCCCATAGGTAACTACCTATTTCATTTGTTTTAAAATATCTTCCCAGAGTTTCTTTGCACAATATAAGCAGATTTAAATGTTTTTATTCCCCTCACAACTTTTATGCAAAATGTAGCCTTCTGTACGCACTTTTACACCTTGATTTTTCTAATAGATCTGTATACTCTACCTGCAACATTGTCCATGCTGCATTATTATTATATTGCCTCATCATTTTTGGATATTGTTTAACCAATTCCTGATTTGGGGAGGATTTTTTTAGACCTTTGGCTGTCTCAAAACAGCTTTAATTATTAGATTGTATGTTTGTATACAACTCATGATTATTTCCTTAGGATAAATTACTTGAAATTCTTTGCTGGGCTTTTGCTTCATGTTTTCCAAATTGTTCCTGAAAGGTTCTAGCACTTTGTACCTTCCCCAGCAAGGGTTGCCAGCAGATCCAAAGGGAATTAAGTTAATAGAGGCCGTTTGGAAGAGTGAACCTTTCGAATATTATATGCAGGAGGAAATAGTAACAGGAAAGCCACGGGGGACCGCTATTGTGATGGTGTGGAGGGAGAGGGCTCGGTGAGGGGTGGCTGGAAGTATTTGAAAGAACACATCAGAACCTGAGTGAGATGTCCATTCTGGTCTTGCCTCTGCTGGGACATCTGGGATAAGTCTCTAAGGTCTTCGAGTCTGTTTTTTCATTGAATAAGGGAGGAGTGCTTTCTGAGTTCTCCCTCTTTCTAATGCTGTGGGTTACTCATCTCTCTTCATTTCAGTAAATGCTAAGCCTCACCTTCTCAATCCACTATCTTTCATAAAATTCAGGGTGAATTTATGTGTGTGAATGTAACTTTTTTTTTAAATTTTATTATGTTAGTCACCATACATCATGATGTGTGTAACTTTTTAAAAACTCATTCATCTGGAGATGATGTATCATAGACGCTGCAGATTTGCAACAGCATTCAGCAGCAGTAGGTGACTCACAAACACCGAACTTGGGGAGGTGGCGGTGGTAGATTTGGCTCTTTGTGGTACAGAGATTTAACAGGTGGCAGCCAGGGAGGCTGAGCATCAGCTCGCACCCCCCTGACCAGACTCCCCAGCCGTCAGCCAGCCCCCGTAGGCAGGCGTCCAGTTATTGGTCACCTCCGTGCCAGGGCCATTTGTCGTTAGAAGCTGCCCCAACTTCACCAAAGGAGAACTTTGGTCACTGAGCTAAGACTGGTCAAGGATAAATAAGATGCCCAGGCATTTCCTTCCTTTCTCTACAGCAAGCAAACTAAAGAGGATCCAGGTGTGCAAGAACTGGAGGCATTAATAGACACAATCCAGAAGCAACTGCAAGATCATCCGTGCAAAGATAACATTTGCGAAGCCTTTCAAATTTATGACAAGGAAGCTTCAGGATATATTGACAAAGAGATGTTCTTTAAAATCTGTGACTCTCTCAACCTGCCAATTGATGATTCCTTGATTAAGGAGGTCAGTAGGAGTTGCCCTTCTGGGTTGATTGCAGAGGCTGTGAACACCCGTTTTTTCTCTCCCAGAGGCAGTTGCGGGTGGTTTTGGTTTTAACAGTAAAATTTAAGATGTTTGAATCAGATCTCCTATTCGGCCCTCATTTTTATGGTTTCCCCTTGATTGTCGCATTGGGGTTCTTTGCTCATGGCTGCAGTAAGGCCTCTCTTTACGTGGGTATGGGCTAGACCGCACAGCATGGTGGATAAGCCATGGCCGCCGAAGGAGGGCTGTAGCCATGATCCCAGAAGGGCAGCCCCAAGGGGAGACCCAAAGGTAATGGGATTGAGCAGGATGGGAGGGCAGCCTGTGGCCACCCTCCCAGCCAGCGCTTACCGTAGCTCAGCAGTACAGCGGGTGTGGGAGAGGGCGTGACCACCGCCCAGGGCAGCCGTGTCTGTCAGGAACGGGTCGCCCAGGGCCAGCTGCACACGGAGGAAGGACATGGACATTGTCCTCCTGGAATTTTCATGAGTGAGTTGCAGAGAGGGTTTTGTGCCTTTGTTTCATTAGAAATCCCTCTAGCCAGGGCTTCCCTGGAACTTGGACCAAAATTTCTCCCACAGTTGCCGATGACTGTGACTTATCACTGAGACTTCTCCCTGATAAAAAGCCTGCTGTAGACCTTCTTAAAGATTTTAGCAAAAAGGGATGTTCAGAAGTGAAGACTCATTTAGGGGAGGCTGTCGTGTGGTGCTGGAGAAGAGGATTTTTCAGATATTGGAACATCAGCAGGGAGGGGAAGAGGGCAGGTAGAAAAGAATGTGTTCACTTGGGCAAATGCCCATTTAGCTTCCCAAATCTCAGATGGACAGCATGCCCAGCTTTTGATTTTTTTTTTAAGTCATTTGTGCTGTGACCTTGACATAGGAATTGCGATCAGCAGGGTGGGGAAGGTGTGGGTGGCAAGGATGATTTGCACATGTAAAGGTAACCACAGCAGATCAGGCTACTCCCCCCAGAGCAGAGCTTCAGGGGACGTGGTTTGAGCAGTGACGCAAGGCTTCTTGGCCTTTGGGCAAAGATCAAGTGAGCAGTGACGGAACTAGATTCTTCTACTTTCCTGTGATAACAGCAACTTGCTATTTTAAAGAGTTCTACTCTGTGCAGACCAGGTGGACAAAGCTCGTATTTGAATATAAAAATAATTAAGAGTGCTCTGGAAATGACAGTGTTCTTATAAATGTGAGTCCTGAAATCTCCGGCAGGCCCTTGACTCCTCTGAGCTTCAGTTTCATTCAGTTGAAGATGGGGATTATGTCTGACCCACGTGCCAGGTTCATAGGAGCATTTTAGAATCCACCGATTTAAACTCTGACCTGGTTTACAAAGGCTGGGGATGGTTATTAATAAGCGGGCCCTGCCGCTCTGTCTCACCTGCTCTCTCCTTTCTCCCGCAGTTGATCAGGCTGTGCCCTCACAGAGAAGACAAGATTAACTACTATCACTTTGTGCGTGCTTTCTCCAAATGACCTGGCTGAGGAGAGAATGCAGTACGACGTTTTGAGGTCAGACCTACATTTTGAAACACCTTGTACTTTTCATAGAGGCATTCACAGGGATCTTTATATTTTTCAGTTCTTAGATTTCAATACTAAAATTAAATTAAACTGGATCTTTTAAAGAGCTAAGATTGGTGCTTTATTTAGGGAGGTAGGGGTAGGGTATTGTGATGGCTAATTAGGTATCAGCTTGTCTGGGGCCATGGAGTGCCCAGATGTTTGGTTAGACATTTCTCTGGGTGTGTCCGTTTCTGGCTGAGATTAACAGTTGAAGTGGTAGACTGAGTAAAAGCAGATTGCCCCTGGGGTGGGTGGGCCACATCCAATCCACTGAAGGCCTGAACAGAAAAGGCTGACCATTCCCCAAGAAAGAGAATTCTGCATGCCTTTGGACTCAAACACTGGCTTGTGCTGGGTCTCGTGCCTGCTGGCCTGGCCTTCAGACTAGAACTATACCCTCCACTCTCATGGGAGCAAAATCTTGGGAATTGTCAGCCTCCATAATCCCACGAGCCCATTCTTTATAAGAAAACTTCTTTCTCTACATAGACATTCCATTGGTTGGTTCTCTGGAGAATGCGGACTACTATGGGTATGGAATGACTACGAGCAGAAGGAAAGCCAGATTTTGCTGGGGCAGCAGCATGTGGGGTGTTGGAAATACGCACACTCTGCTGTTGCTGCGGGCTGGAAGCCACAGTTTTTGAACTGTGGCTCTAGGCCCATTAGTGGACCTGCAGTTTTAAAAAATGGAATAGAAAATATAAGTGTGGTACAAATAGGTTATATATTGTTTCATGAAACTTTTGTTTCAACTGAGTGTATTTACTGGGTCATAATGGAAAATGTATTCCTTGATGTGAATTATAGTTAAAATATATAGTAGAAAAATGCTGCTTTTCGAGAGCCTAGCCTTGAGATGAGAGGAAAAGTAGTTACTGGTTATCTGATGAGCTCTGCCTCAGCTTTTAGAATGAGGGCTGCTCCCGAGTTGAGGCCAGCCACCACCTCCAATTTATAACTGCCAGCCCAGATTCTTCCCTGCTTCCCCAGGTGGTGGTGTAAAGGAGGGGAGAGCTGTCCCTACAGGATCCAGGACACCTGCCCTCTCAGAACAGCTCGTTCTTCCTTCACTGATGAGCCAAGCCCCCTCCAACTAGCTTACTCAAAGGGCTGTAAGACCATATGTACTGACTCCTTTCCTGCTCCAGGTCGGTATCTCAAGAACTAGTGAAAGCCCTCAGTCACTTAACTAGTAAAAGCCTAATTTCCAAGTACTCAGAAGTCCATTTCAGTCTAAAGTAAAAATCCTAAACTCTATCCTGCCTGCCCAAACTTAGAAGCCTTAGTGTGTGTGTGAGTGATAGGTATAGCGGGTTTCTTCTTCCTTCTGGTTTCTGCTCCCCTTGCTCCCAACTCAGCCACACTGCTGTTTCTGGCCTGTGTAGTGTCCGGGAAGGGTAGCGAGTAGATCCCAGAGGAAAGGGGCAAAGTCTTATTTCTGGGTCCAGTGAAGTCATCATCTGGGTCAGGGCCTTCTGTGTGTCATGTGCCGAAAGGCTGGCTCTCTTGCTCCCCCCGCCCCCCCCCCCAGAAAGGACACTCCCACAGGAAACCTCTCAGATGCCATCCTCAGATGGCCCAGTCTCCAGCGTGCCTGGTCCTAAAAGCACATTCCCTCCGGGCTCCTCCTCGTCCCCTCAGGCTTCCCCTCCCAGGGCCTTCAGTCTTGCTGTGTGTCTGTCTAGACTGCTCTCTGGCCTGTGCAGTTCAGCAGCTCAGCTGGTCCTTTCCTGGAGACTCACTGTAGGTGAGAATCAGGTACTAAATCTCACGTTCTCTTAACTCTAGGGGACCCAGGTCAAACTGAGTCCATTAAAGCATCTTCCTCACTTAGTTTGTGGACCTACTGCACTCCGACAGTCCCTTTCAGGAACTCCACACTCTAGTAACTTCTCCACAACCCTGCAAGAGGGAAGTTCATGAAACTGGATCCTCAAGTCTTTCACAGGTCTGTGCCACCTGCTACAGATGGAGGTACCTGCCGGCTTTGGTCCAAAGTCAAAAGGGAGACATTAGGAAAACGTCCTCTCACCCACCTTCTGAGGTCCAAGTGCTCCTCACCCTTCTACCCTTGTTCTGACTGTTCTCTTCTGTGCCTGCCCCGCTGTGAAGGTCAAGTGCCTCACGGAGAGCTATGCTGAGTACGGCAGGCCGCGCTCGCCTATAGGACGTCAGCCTCACTTCCCAAGCTTGCCCAAGACAGGAAGCTCTGTCACCACGTGCAGACGACCAGAGCCAGCAGGTCACTTCTGGGGGCCCCACGCTCCCTGCTCAGCCCCGCTAGTTTATACAAGCCCCGCCGAGGGTAGAGCCCCACGCACAGATCGTTCTCCTGAATTCCGAATGGCGCCGCAGCCACCTGATGTCGCTTGGGCTGCACTCAGCCCCGGCATGCAGTGGGGTCCTGGCCGAGGGGACGTTAGCGTGGGACGTTAGCCTGCAGCCAGCAGCACTGCAGGGAGGGGAAAGGACCTCTGCTGAGGGGGCCGCCAGGGAGGGGAGACAGGTTGCCTCCTGCCTGGCGTCTGCCCCATAGGCGGCCGAGAACGGCGGCTCTCCACTCTGAGCAATGGGGACAGGACGGCTTGGGACAGCTATGGGCTCGGGGCAGCAAAATCGGCCCCGCGGGGAAGACGGGCTCGGGGGCAGCCGCTGCTCAGGCCCGGGGCTTGCACCCTGTCTGTAACCACCCTCGGGGCCTTGAAAATACCAGCTAAGTAGGGCGGGTCAAACCCCTGTCTCTAGGCCTTGAGGGCATTTGGGACCAAGAGGGGGAGAAGACCTCTCAATGCTTTCAGAAAATCAGGGGTCACTTGGGTGAGGGACTCCTTAAGATCCTGCTGGTACCAAATAGCCTGAGTGTATGTGTTCATTAAAAACCAGCCAACAGTGCTTTACTTGTACCATGCACTCAGCATTCACCTTCCCTAAATCTCACCAGCACCACTTCCTGTGAAAACAAGCAGCAAGCACACAACCCTCAAAACTGTAGAACACAGATGAACAAACAAACGGGCTCAGAAAGGTTAACTGGCCAAGGTCACCTAGCGTCTTCCGGCAGAGCCGGACCAAAACCCACGTCTGCAGCAGAGCTTGCCCTCCATGGGTGTCCCTCAGCTTCACCTCAGGTGAGTGCTTCCTGTGCCATCCTCACGCCCCGTGGGGGTCCATGGCTACCTGCCCCCCGTAACTGCACTCCTCTCCTGTGCTCTCTGAAGACCGTTCTGGAAAACACAGACCGCTGCAGGCAAGGGCAGTCCATAGAACAGACCACAGCAATCCTCACGGCCCACCACCATGACGAATACTGTTCAGCACCAACAGCAGGATTTTACACGCACACCTTAGCCCGTGACTGCATCACGCAGCAAGCTCGAGGTGCTTCCCCGTGGAGCTTGGCGGCAGACCCCGTGTCAAGAAAAAGCCTTTCTGCTTTTCTACTTTACTTTATAGTTACAGACTCAAAAATGCCTAGAATGACCCAGCACTCAAGATAACTTTCTCCATCCTTCATTCCAATTCCCTCCTTTCTGGGACCAAAACGAACAAATACCGCTCAAAACAGACATACAAGAAAGGACCATTAGAGTGAAAAATGGTATCAGTGAGATTAAAATGGACACAAAATTACTTTTCAAGTGAAAACAAATGTAAGCATCCAGATTAAAAAGGAAGATAAAGTGACCAGAGACAGCGAGACTGATAATTCTATGCCTTTTATTCAGTTATTTCAAAAATATTTGATTTGTTTCAAAATGTACATTAAAAAAATCCATACAAAACTGTAATTTGTTTTAAAACCAGACAGAAACAGTGGAAAAGGCTTTTGAAAAAAGTTCATTGAAAGTAAAAAGACCCCCCCACCCCCGCCCAAAAAAACCCCACCTTTTACATGAAAGCATAAATACGGCAGGTACAAATTTTCCTTGAGTTCCTAGTTGAAATTTGGTCCATGACATGAACAGGCTAAAATAGAAAAACAAGACTTGTCCACATTTGCATTATGAGTTGCTCACGGCACCAGCAGCCTCAGCTCATCCTTCAGGTGTTTACTGAACAAAAGAACTGAAAAATGAGGTGTGGGGGTCTCCTCACATGAACACTCGAATCCGTACCCAAGGACACAGCGGAGCTTTCAGCCCCAGCCAGCCCCTGTCAGTGAACAGTGCACGCATGGCTGCCCCTCAGAACCACCTCCTTCCTCTCCACACGAACAAGAAACTCTAGAATGCTCTTAGAGTGACGGTGACATCTCAGGTGTCCCAAGAGATCTTATTCCCAGACACGGATTTATTTAATGCCCCATCATAAGAATGTTTTTTTTTTTCCTTTTCAACTGATTTAAGAAAAATCTACGGCCTTCTAAGGCGATGCTACACTGTTCTAGGAGAGTGCCACTGAAACCCACTCAGGATGGAGAGATGACCGCGATGAAGGGAAAGTAGCGCACGTTTCTTCGGTAGGGGAGGACGACCCCCCCTCCCACGGGCCCCTTCCCTTCCCGGCTGCAGGTTACTTAGGGACAGCAGGGCCTGTGGAAGACCACGGGCTGGGGGAGTTATTGCACAACCCGGAGGAGCAAGGGGGTGGCGGGCAGCTGCGGCTGCTAACATAGGTAACACTGAGTTAGGAGCGCCGAGAAACTCTGCAACGACCAAACCAGACCCACCGTCAGACTGGGGTCTGGGAGCAAACACTTGTGACTGGGAAGTAAAAGTAAACACCTTGATCTTACCAACTGTGGGTTGAATAGGAGGCAAAAAAGATTGGAAGAAGTTAGAGCCAGGCTACTGTTCTTTTTAATGGGGAGGAGGCGCACTGGGAGGACTGGCCGAGAGGGGGCTTGTGCCCCCGGAGGCCCCTGGGCTTCCCTCCACAGGTAGGACGTGCAGGTGCCTGCGGCCGGGCCCTCAAGGCTTCTGCAGCCACCCGTGTGGGCCAAAACAAAACCTAGAACATACCATGAACCCCACCACCATGGGGGGCGGGGACGGAGACAAATGAGGCCAAACTCCCAATCCGTGTCCCTTTTACATGGAATGTACCGGGGTCCAGTGTCCTTGGCTGCAGAGGACAACCCGCCCCAGAGGCCTGCCCGGTGGGGTTGGCCACACAGCACGCGCGGGGGCTGGGAGGCCCCACGGCAAGTAAGGCACTTCGTACACAAAGAGGAGGAGGGCCCGCTTGGGACAAGCACTCTTGGGTCGCCGAGCACAGGGTCAGCACGGAACACAGCAGTCCCAGTGCTTTTCTGAGACCTCTAGAACAAGAGGGAGCGGGCCGCAGGGGAGGCAGCAGACGAGGAGCAGCAGGTAAACTAGGCCGGTGGGAACCAGAGAAAAGCAAGAGGGTGAAGGCTGCTTCCTGGGCCAGCGGGGGCCGGAGAGGGGTCCCACGGAAGTTTCACACGCTCGGACAATGATCCGCTTCCCCAGTTGTACCCAGAGTCCCTTCGGAGGAGCAGGGCTGCAGGCAGGGGAGGCAGCGGGAGGGAAGAAAGACCACTCTGTTGTCCCGCCTCCAGCAGGGAAGAGCAGAGGGCGGCAACAACATTCGCCAACGAAGTCTGTTCGCTTGGGTCAGCAGGGGAGGAAAACCCGACTGGGAAGGCTGAAACCTGTGCAAGATATCCAAACCAAACCTTCCCGAGCCACAGGGGACCTGGCAAGCCACTGAAAACTTAAAAAGGCATCCAGGGAACAGAATTTTCTCTTGTGGAATCTTGGGAGGGGGTGTACTCTCTGCCTCTTCCTCTCCCTCACCATTTAGGAAAAAAGTGAAAGGGTACGGAGGAAGGAGGTCCCTAAAGGAAAACCCAGACGCACACTCCCCTGAAAGAACACTGAAGCCAGGCTTCAGGGGTCTCTGGAGGCCAAGGGATTCCAGTCAAGAGCGGCATCTGCAAAGGTGGCCAGAGCACAAGGTCTATTTTGGTTTCCGAAATTCAAGCGCTGCCTTGAGACAGAAACACAAAAGGTTCTCGGCAACAATTTAGGTCTGGTGGCGCGCACACACACGGTTAGAATGGGGGAGAAGCAGCTCCCCTCCTGGCCCTGCCTGCTCCCTCTTTCCTCTCAAACCTTCCCCTACCTTCAAAAAGAACACATGTAACTTATTAATAGTGCAGCTATCAGAGCCTGATGGTAAAAATAGCTTTCCCACCACTGAACCTCAGCAGCCCCAGGTCCTCCCCCCACACCACACAGCCTGTCTGTCCTGCCACGGCCACCTGCTCGGCCTCCCCCCGAGCCTGTGCCGGTCAGGGATGTTTAGAGAGAGGCGGCTGTTGCTGAGGTAGATTAGCATCTCAGAGCTATCCGACAGGGCCCTCACGGATGGCTCGGCACTTTGGGAACAGGAGAGCACGAGTTTAAGACTGAAGACGACAGCCAAGGTGGCCAAATCAGGACAAGCCAGCACAACAAGCTCACAGGATGCGATGGGGTTATTTGGGCCCCTGGCACCCTGCTGCGCCAGCCTGCCAAAGCCTGGGCTCTGCTCAGAGATAAATGTGGCCGGGATGCCAGAAGGGTGACAAAGCTCCCTCCAATTACTGATATCCCCCCTTCCCCTCCGATCCTTCCTAAGGCCCAGCTGGTGACACGCTAGCCTTACTCATGGTCTCAGGGGTGTTGACACGGCAGAAAAAAAATCTTACTAACCCTCATCCCTGCACACACCCTATCCTTTAAGAAACAGAGCCCCAGTCCCTGGGGCAGCAGTACCACCTCTGAATCACACCTGCCCCAGCGCCAGAAGCTTGCAGGACACTTCGGGAACACAGAGCCAGGTGGCCTCTGGCAACAAACACCTAGACCTATGGCCGTGAGAAGGGAGGCTGCCTGATGCAGGCCTTGAGCTGCTCGCCCTGTCTCTCGGCCTGCAGGTCACAGCGTACCCGCCAAAGTTGAGCTGGGGCTCACCTGAGGGAGCGGCCCCTTGCAGGGAACAGAACACTGCCCGGGACATGGCCAAGGGGAGGGGAGGGCTGGGCTGAGCGGGGAGGCTCATGGGGCAGCTTTGGAGGCTGCTGGCTGAACGCCCTTCCCTCACCAGGCAAGGTGGGGAGCTTGAACGAAACCACAGCCTGGGCAGGGGTATTGGGCCAAATAGTTAAGGGGTCCTGGCTCAGGTCTGCTGGGTTGGTACCAAGCCATGATCCTAGCAACGTTTCTGCTCTGCAGCCCAGAAAAGTGTCAGGGAAGGATGGGAGAGATGCAGATCTCCAAAAAGGCCGTCCTGCTTCCTAAGGGTAATCAGACGCCAAGGGCAGATCTTCCCATTTCTATAGCCTTAGCCTGGACAGAGAGAGGAGGGTCTACAGTGGTGTTTGGGTACAAATCCCTCAGTCACTGGAAAATTCAATCTCTGATGCAAGTGACATGGAGGAGAGGAGTTGCCCTGATGAAAAGGCCCATCTCCCCCTTTTTAGGATAATAATCCAAGGTTTGGCTTCTATGAGGTCAGAAAGAGGACCAGCACCTCAACTGACATTTCTACGCCCACCAAGACCTGCTCCCCACACCTCAGCACAGAGTTCAAGAGTTCCTAATTAGGACTAAGCCTAACCCCTTCTGGAAGTCCTCCCCAGGCCCCGTATGGACTTGGAGGCCTTGTCTTTGGGTGGAACAGAGGGAAGGAAGAGGGGAGGGTAAGGCGGAAGCCTCCCCTTGGCACAGGTGTCTGCTCATCTACCCTGCAGATCATTCTGAGTCCCGCTTTCATACGGTCTAAAATGTTGCAGGTGTGCTCAAATATCACAGGATGACGACGACAGAGACACTCAACAGATGAGCCAGAGGGTGAGCAGCCCAGCGACCTCCCTGTGGCACCAGGGGGCCAGTGGGGGGCTTGGTGTTCCTGCAGCGGGAGAGACAAGTCAGGCAGCAAGGCCAGCCCCTCACCGGGCCACCTGGCTCTGGGCTTTGGGCCAGCATCCGCCGGGCCGCTCTGGTAACTGTGGTTGGGTGGGGTTTTGAATGCTGGTGAACGGTTGAAAAAGCGGCTGGGGCTGGGGCTGGGGCTGGGGCTGGGGCTGAAGAACGGCCTAGGGCTCCCACTCCATCATCTCTGCCACCGTTACCTTTCCAGAAAGGCCTGTTGCTCTGTTCCTGCTCTAGTGGGTGGGAAGACTTGTCCTCCTTCAGCACCTCCCCGGCAGAGCGAGGGCCAACTGGCCTCCGTGCGGGACCGGCCACTGGGAAGCGGTCTTGAGTCACGGGACCCAACACAGTTACCACCACCTTTCTGGCCCAGGTCGCCATGCCCCACAGCCAAACGCTGTGGCATTTCCAAGTAGCAGTGGCGCTGCCGGGCCTCCAGATGGTGTGTGCGGAACTGGAATCATACATCTCAGTTAATCAGCACCTGGAGATGATGATCCAAGAGGACTGGTCTCTCCTCTCCTCACCCGAACATGGGGGGGCCCCCCAGGGGCCTGCAAGCAGCCCCGGGCAGAGGCTCCGGGGCACGAGGCGTCTGACTCTGACAGGTCCTGGGGACTGATGCTGGGTGTCGGATGGCCAGGACTGCAATTTGAGCTCCCTCTCGTAAAAATCAGACAGAAAAATTGCACAATATGGTGAAAAGTCAAAGGAAGCAGCCATGAAGGAAGAGAAAGAGGAGGCCAGTCAACACAGAACCATGAGAGCCTGGGCTTCTAGAAAACCCAACACAGCGCAGAGGTGAGGACATGAAGTGGCTTGAGGGAGAGAAAGAAGAAGAGTTTTGGTTTTATTGAGAATGGTTTATGGAAGAGTAAGAAGAGAAAGCCAAGAAGTAAGAAAGAGGAAAAGCCCTGTTCAGAGACAGGTTCCTGCTGCTTGAGAGGCAGCAACAGGACTAGGAGGGGTTAGGCAGTGTTGGGGGCCGGGCTCCCCCCCTCCCTGCTGGGCCCCCACAAGAGGATCCCTGTTCCAGCACTTTGCCCTCAAGGAGACTTGAGTTTCTTAGTCCGTGGGGAGGTGCCATTTTCTGCTTTCACCACTCCGTTTTCATGGTAACCTAGGAAGTGAAGGGAGACAGACAGATGTGGTGTTCCCGTGGGACAGGCGCAGGGCACACGGGCGGGGGGGGGGGGCGGTGCCCGGCACAGCTGCCCACCGAGAACGGCTCCCAGGGGGTTCCTGCTCCCCGAAGTGTGACTCTGCAGGAGGCTGGAGGGTCCCTGACTGTCCTTTAGCAGAAGGGGGCCAGGGTGACAGAGTGGGGACCCAGGAACAGGCTGGGGCCCGCCGCCCGGACCAGATCCTAGGTTAGAATCGTGTAGACCCCGCCCAGCGTAGACCCTGCCAGTGTAGACCCGCCAGCATAGACGCCCAGCGGCCTCGGTTTCTCTCCGCCGCCTGCAGAGCACCGGCTCCCGGGGAGGGGAGAACAGAGAGGAGGCCGCAGAGGCTCCAGGGACAGGCCTTACTCAGAGGCCCAATACTCCTCTGGCAGAAAACACTGTGCTATCTTTTTACTGTTGTGGAGAACTCCTCCCTGTGCCTGCTCCAAGTGCTGTAGCTGCAGCCTTGCGGCCGCACCCACCCCCACCCGGCCTGAGCCCCCACACCCGGCTGCAC